TAATCAGGAACACATAGAATTCAGAAATGTTTATGCAGCAAATAACAGAGCTTCAAAAGATATGAAACAAAAATTGACAGAATAAAGGAGGAAATAGACAATTCCACAATTACAGTTGGAGATTTTCATCATCAGCAATTGATACAACTAGACAAAAAATCAGTAAAGATGTAGAAAACAAAATTAATAAATCCCTAGCAAGACTAATCAAGAAAAAAGAGAAAGAACTCTAACCACTTGTCTCAGGAATGAAAGAGGGGATATTACTACCGATCATACAGAAATTAACAAGATAACGAGAGAATATTATGAGCAACTATATGCCAATAATTTCAACTACTTACATAAAATTGTCAAATGCCTTGGAAAAAAAGCAATTTACCAGAATTGACACCAGATCAGAAAATTTAAGTCTCCCTATGTCTTATAGAGAAATATTTATTATCAAAAAACTTTCCTGAAAAACAACCAACAAAACAGTACAACAACAAAAACCTCCAGGCTCAGATGATTTCATGGGTGAATTCTAGCAAATATTTAAGGATGAAAAATCACCAGTCTTCCTCGAACACTTTCAGAAAATAGAGGAGGAGGGAACAATTGTCAACTCCTTTTATGAGATCAGGATAAACCTGGTACTAAAAGCTGATGGATAAATTATATATACAAAAGAGAAAATTACAGAAAAATATCCCACACGAACAGAATAGCAAAAATGCTATTAGCAAATCAAATCCAACACCATATAAAAAGGAATGTGTTCTCATTGCCTGCTTACAGATGAGGGGCAGAGATGTTCAGTGATATGTGCAAGGCCATGCAGCTGGTAGGCGACCCTACTTTGCCAGGTTCAAAACCCCCACTCTTTCCAAGGCAATGGCGTCCTAGGTGGTGAGGGCTGGCTTTGCAGTGGAAGGAGTTGTGATGAAGCTCCTGGGTGGGGAACAGTCAGCCTGGGTCCCTTGTGCAGGTTCCAGGCTTGATGTGGACAAGGTGTAAATGCAGAGTGCCCTGGGCCTTGTCTAGGGTCCTCTGCCCCCTGACTCCTGGCTCTCAAAGCCCCATCCCCCCACACCCATGCTACAATGAGCTCTCCTTCCACCAACTTATTTCCCCAAGCCTCCCTTCACCCTCTCCTTGTTGCCAGGCCATTTTGTTGGTGGCAGGCCAATGGGTGCACCTGTTGCTTCTGCAGGCTGCCAGCCTTACCCTGGCAAGCCCTTACCACGCAGGTCCTGGTGCCATGACAACACTGACGTCTCCTCACGTGCTCTCCTGCCACACCCGGCACAGAGACGCAAGGTTGGCCTGCCTCCACTGCCCCGGGGGCTTCTGGGAAAGCCGGGAAGACCATGTGGCCTTGGTGAAGAGGGATCATACTAATAGCAATTAGATAGGAATGGGGCCACCCAAAGCCAAGGGAGCAGGGTTGCTGTCCGTGTGGACCTGGAAGGAGGAGCTGAAGCCCAGGGCCAAGGGGCCTCTACCCAGAATCCAGAGGGTGTGGCCAACATCCAGAGTCTGGAGGGCCGGGCCCTTGCCCAGATGGTCTCAGAGAACAGACGATTATTTCCAAGCCTTGAGAGCTAATGTAAATTGTTCTGCCGGGTTTTAGACTTGCTTGGTGCCCTTTATCCCTTCTTTCCCTCCATTTTCTCCCATTTGTAATGGAAACGTCCACCTTGTGCCTGTCCCACCATTGTACTTTGGAAACAGATAACTTGTATTCTAGGTTTCACAGGTCCACAGATGAAGAGGAGTGTTGTCCCAGGATGGAATACGCCTAAGGTCCCACCCATATTTGGTTTAGGTGACTCAGATGAAATTTGGGACTTGGAGTTGATTTAAGACTTTTGGGATGATGTGATGGGGTGAATGTGCTTTGCATGTGGCAAGGACATGAATTTTGGGGGGCCCAAGGGTGGAATGTTATTTATTGAATTGTGTCCCCCAAAAATACGTGTTGTAAATCCTAACCTCTATGCCTGTGGTTATAATCCCATTTGGGAGTGGGTAGTCATTGTTACGTTAACAAGATCAGGATTACTACAGGGTATGTTTTAAGTCAATCTCTTTTGAGATATACAAGGTTAAACAAGCAAATGAGTAGCAGAGATGGGGGAACAGAGATGCCAAGCCACAAGAAGATCACCCAGCAGCAGAAGCTCAAAGAGGCAAGGACCTTCCTCCACAGCTGACAGACAGAAAGCCTTCCCCTTGAGCTGGCACCCTAAATTCAGACTTCTAGCCTCCTAAACTGTGAGAAAATAAATTTCTGCTTGTGAAAGCCACCCATTTGTGGTATTTCTGTTATAGCAGCAGTAGATAACTAAGACAAGTGGGATAAGTGATATGGCCAGCTTGGAGCTATGCTGGAGAGAGAGAGAGAGAGAGATCTTTAGTCTTGTGGTGCTTTAGACCCCAAAGTGCTGCTTGACTCTAGCAACTAGAGGGAGCATTCTGGAATACACACTGACCAGATCACGCCCTCAAGGCATTTAAAATCAGATACTAACTAAAGTGACGCTAACTAAAGCTGCACCCAAGCCACAATCCAGCTCAACTCCTGAGTGGACTGAAGTTACAGACCTCGGGGAAGTTACAGTGCCTGACGGAGGAAAAGATACCCCTCTCTGGGGGAAAGTATTTACTCCAATCCCTCTGGTTCCTTTAAACACAAAGTCTGGCGTACAATAACGAAATTACAAAACATGAGAGGCACCAGGAAAATGTGGCCCGTGATCAGCAGCAATCGCCCCCAGCCCCATCACTTCAGCCACATCCTACTGGCCAAAGCACGTCACTTGAGCAGCCTAGATGCCAGCGGTGGGACACAGACTCTACCTCTTGACGGAGGGAGCTTAGCAGTTATACTGCAGTCATATCAGGGGCAGTGGAGACTTGGGGGCCTTTTAAAAATCCATCTACCATCGGAGTTCATGAATGAGTCCCTCACCCACTCACAGCCTGAAACAGCAGATGTGTTATTTCTTTGCTGCTCCTGCCCCCCACTGCCCAGGTTTGTGCCCAAAGAAGCTAGGTGAGGGCAGCTCCTCACCATTGCCACTGTCAGGGGTGCCTGTGCAGCAGTGCTGATGGGTGCGCCAAGGGTCTACTCTTGGGACGGTCCCAAATCTGCCAGCCAGTGGGGCAGCGGCAGACACAGAGTCACACCCTGTCACCTGGGCCAATCCCTGTGTTCCTCGGGAAAAACAGTTCCAATGTTGCCCCCACGGCCATTTCTCTTCAGGTCTCAAACTCCGGACTGCTGAGCTGGCCCCCACAACCAGTCTCCAATACCCCACACCACATTGGCCTGCCACCCCTTTGTATTCCTGAGCCCTTGTGGCCCTTCACTGAAGGCCACCTGTGCGCCCAGTGGAAGGTGGAGCTGCACTACTTTCCTGCCACAACAGTGTTCTCATTACCCAGTTACAGATGAGGGACAGAGATGTTCAGTGGCTTGTGCAAGGCCACCCAGCTGGTAGGTGGCCCTGAAGCCCATGCTCTTTCGAATGCAATGGTGTCCTAGGTGGTGAGGGCTGGCTTTGCAGTGGAAGGAGCTGCGATGAGGCTCCTGGGTTGGGAACAGCCAGCCCGGGTCTGTTGTGCAGGTTCCAGGAGGGATGAGGCAGGCTTGCGAATGCGAGTGCCACTGGGGACCCGGTCTGGGGGCCCAGCGCCTGGCGGTCCCAGCACCACTGATCAGAGCTTTCGCTCTGCCAGCTTCCCTTTTCTCCCCCTCCCCAGGCCGTTTTGTCGGTGGCAGGCCAGTGGGTGCGCCTGCTGCGTCTGCGGGCTGCCAGCCTTGCCCAGCAAGCCCTGACCACGCAACACCGACGGCTCCTCCCGCGCTCTCCTGCCGCAGCCATTCACCCCGCGCAGCGACGCGAGGCCGGCCCGGCTGCCGCTGCCCCGGGGGCTTCTGGGAAAGCCGGGAAGAGCACGTGGCCTTGGCGAAGGGGGTGCTGGGAGCCACGCGGCGGAGGCGCCTTTTTCCCGTCTTCTGAGGGGGAATCCGGCGGCTCCGCAGGCTGAGGCGGCATTTCCCCGGGGTCGTGGGAGCGCACGCCGAGTGGCAGGAGGTGAGCGGGGCCGGGCCTTTTCTGTGGCGGAGCCCAGCATGACGGAGCCCTGCGTGGGGCCGGGTCGTCGCCGGGTGGCGGGTGAGGAGACCGGCGGCCGGAGGCGGCGTAGAGCGCGAGGCGGCGTGGGGGCCGGGGAGGCTCGCGGCCTGGCGGAGACGGGTCCCCGGTGATGAGGGTCCAAGTAGGGTGCTGTCGGGGAAGGCAGGGAGGGGTCCCGGCTGCAGGGGGGCAGGTGAGGGCGGGAGGGGGAAGACTTCCGGCTCTGGGTGTTGAGGGGCACAGGTGGGGCACTTTAGGTTGCGGGTTGGAGTAGGGCGTGGAGGGGACTCACAGTCTAGCATTGGGGGGACGGGAGGGACGGGCTCTTGGCTACAGGGAGGGGTAGGTTAGGGGGGCTCGGGGGCTGAGCAGGGGAACTCGGATGCAGGGGGTGCAGCGCAGGGACTCCCGGTTGTAGGTATCTCGGTGGGCCATGGGAACGGGTCTCCTAGCCCACCAATGGCCTGGTGGGGAGGGCTACGGGCTGCCAGGGGATGGAGGGGAGGGGCGCTGGGCTGGGAGAGTGAGGATGAGGGAAGCACGGGGGCTGCAGGCAATGGTGGAGGGGGGAGAGGCTCAGACTGCTGAGGTCAATGCAGGGAGTGCGGTAGCAGTGGAGGAGGATTCCGTCCAGGGCTCCTAGCCGCCCTGGGTGTGCGGAGCTTGGGCTGCAGTTTTCGGAGGGGGTGAGGCCCCAGGCTGCAGCAGTGGGGGAGCAGGGTCTTGGTACATCTGTGGAGGGTGGGCGACAGGACCCTGGTGGTGCTTCTGTGGCGTGACACCCACGTCCCACTCTCTGCATCCACAGGCCAGGGTGACTGGGACTCACCCCTCATCCGGTTGCCTCCCAGGTCCACAACCATGGCGCTGGCAATGCTGCAGGACTGGTGCAGGTGGATGGGTGTGAATGCACAGCGCTCGCTGCTCCTTCTGGGCATCCCAGAAGACTGCGAGGAGGACGAGTTCCAGGAGGCTGTGCGGGCTGCCTTAATGCCCCTGGGCAGGTACCGCGTGCTGGGCAAAGTCTTCAGAAAGGAACTGGGGACCAAGGTCGCCTTGGTCGAATTCGCTGACTACTTAAACCGAAGCTTGATCCCGCAACAGATACCAGGCAAAGGGGGGCCCTGGAGGGTGATCTGCCTGCCCCAGGTTCCTGATGTCGAGCTACAGGAGAGACTCACTTTCCCTGTACAGCCCCAGGAGCAAGAAGTGGCTGGTGGGGCAGGTGAGGCAGGAGTGGAGAATGTGGCAGGAGATGCAGGTGAGGCAGGAGCTGCAGGTGAGGTAGGAGTGGACACAGTGGCAGGAACTGCAGGTGAGGCAGGAGTTGAGAATGTGGCAGGAGTTGCAGGTGAGGCAGGAGTTGAGAATGTGGCAGAAGCTGTAGGTGTCGCAGGAGCTTTGGGTGAGGCAGGAGTGGACAATGTGGCAGGAGCTGCAGGCGAGGCAGGAGTGGACAATGTGGCAGAAGCTGCAGGTGAGGCAGAAGCCTCAGGTGAGGCAGAAGCCGTAGATGAGGCAGGAGCTGAGAATGTGGCAGAAGCTGCAGGTGAGGCAGGAGTCCCTGGTGAGCTAGGAGGCCCAGGTGAAGCAGAAGTTGAGGATGTGGCGGAAGCTGCACGTGATGTTGGAGCTGCAGGTGATGCAGGACCCCCAGGAGAGGCAGGAGATGCTGGTGAGGTAGGAGCTGCAGGTGATGCAGGAATTGCAGGTGAGGCAGGAGCTGCAGGTGAGGCAGTAGCTGCAGGTGAGGCAGGAGCCCCAGACGAGGCAGGAGCCCCAGGTGAGGCAGAAGCTGAGAATGTGGCAGAAGCTGCAGGTGAGGCAGGATATGAGGATGTGGAAGAAGCTGCAGGTGAGGCAGGAGCTGCAGATGAGGCAGACGATGAGGATGTGGCAGAAGCTGGACGTGATGCAGGAGCCGCAGGTGATGCAGGACCCCCAGGAGAGGCAGGAGATGCTGGTGAGGTAGGAGCTGCAGGTGATGCAGGAATTGCAGGTG